TAAAGCAGTTAGAATTAACAACTGGGCATCCACTCTACAAACTGAATTAGTTGTCATAATCACAGCTATTAAATTCATTGACACTGTCACTGACAGTCTCATCATCATTGATTCTCTATCCTCACTACTTGCCCTTGACACCCTCAATTCAAGTTGTCACGCGCTTGTCTTTGAAGCCAGACACAAATATGTGTACCTTGTTGACCGGGGTGTCAAGATCAAACTGTTGTGGATCCCCTCTCACATAGGCCTCAAAGAACATGACAGAGTTGATGCCCTCGCCAAAATCGCGTCCAACAAAGACACCGTTGAATACAATCTGGGTCTGTCAAAGAATCATAAAACTGTAATTGGGAAGGAACTTACTGATGAATTTGAAGCAAGCAAAGTGCAACCAGACATTAGTCAATCTATTGTTCCCATGATGAGATGTATCAAATGAAACATGTATATGGAGCAAGTAACAAGATCACTAGATTACAAGATGTTGTAACCGCTAGATTAAGGTTAGGATATAAGTACCTCTGACAGCATGTTCCTCAGGCAGATGTGAACAAAACAAATGTAAAGTGTGTGTGGCCAGACATATGGACACACTTGAACCTACGTCCTCGACTGTGAAGATAGAACCTTCTAGGGACAGGTCACACTATTTGTCTGAAATGGCACAACACTTCATCTGTCATGGCAAGATAGCCGACATATTAAGATTGTATCCACTTTGCACTCAGTAACTATATCAGTTCTCATATATAGAACCAAACACAGTGTGCTTGAATACCTCTCACGCAAATGTGAACAACAAAGTGTGAGGCCAGACATACTGCCTCACACGCCTGTACTCACGCAGTTGTGAATAAGTTACCCTTTATGTATAGAACTAAACAAAAATTTATTTGAAATACTGTGTAACATTCAGTGCCATAATATCCTGACCACGGGGTTAGTTATACTGACCCTTTGTGAACTCTACTCTGTAATCCTTTTGTGCTACAGTTCACAGGATGAGTATGGGGTGCACAATAAACTAGCCGCTGTAAGTGGTAAAATAAAACCATAACCCACCTCCTACCATCACCCACCACACACCACACACCACCACACCACCACCCACCCCCCACACCTCCACCACCTACACCACCTACCACACCACCTACCTACACCACCCACCACCCACCATCACCCACCCCTACACCACCTACCATCACCCACCTACACCACCTACCACACCTACACCACCTACCATCACCCACCTACACCACCTACACACCTACACCACCACCATCACCCACCTACCACCACACCACACCATCACCCCACCTGCACCACCTACATCACCCACCTACACCTACCATCACCCTACCACCTACCATCACCCACCTACACCACACCTACACCATCACCCACCTACACACCACTCCCACCTACACCACCACCACCACACCTACCATCACCCACCTACACCACCTACCATCACCCTACCACACCTACCATCACCCACCTCACCACCACCACACCACCACCTACACACCGTCACCCACCTACACCACCTACCATCACCCACACCACCACACCCACCTCACCCACCCACCTACCACACCCACACCACCACCATCACCCACCCACAATCACCCACCTACACCCACCCCATCACCCACCCCACCACCACCACCCACCCCACCCCCCCCTTCCCCCCCCCACCCCCACACACCCCCCCCCCCCACCCACCCACCTCCACCCCCACCCACCACCATCACCCACCACACCTACCCTCACCCACCTCCTACCATCACCCACCTCACCCCACCACCACCCCCACCCCCACCCCACACCCACCCACACCCACCTACCACCACCCACCTACACCACCTACCATCACCCCACCTACACCTACACACCCACCTACACCACCTACCATCACCCCCACCCACCACCACCATCACCCACCTACACCACCTACCCTCACCCACCTACACCACCTACCACCACCCACCTACAGAGGTTATATGGTAGTTTTTATAGTAGAGACAACATGCTCGTGGGAGTGAATAAAACCGGCTACGTGCTCATGGAGGTGGTGTGAGACAACATGCTCGTGGGAGGTGAGTGAGAGACAACATGCTCGTGGAGAGTGACTGAGAGACAACATGCTCATGGGAGTTGAGTGTGAGACAACAAGCTCGTGGGAGGTGAGGCAATGAACGCGTGGGAGAGTGGTGAGAGACAACAAGCTCCTAGGAGAGTGAGTGAGAGACAACATGCTGTGGGAGAGTGAGGAGAGACAATGAACGCATGGGAGAGTGAGTGAGAGACAACATGCTCCTAGGGAGAGTGAGTGAGAGACAACATGCTCGTGGGAGGGAGGAGGAGAGACAACATGCTCGTGGAGTGAGAGACAATGAACACGTGGGAGAGTGAGTGAGAGACAACAAGCTCCTAGGAGAGTGAGTGTGAGACAACATGCCCTGGGAGAGTGAGGAGATTGAACGGGAGAGTGAGGAGAGACAACATGCCCTAGGAGAGGAGAGTGAGACAACATGTCGTGGGAAAGTGAGAGACAATGAACGCGTGGAAGAGTGAGTGAGAGACAACAAGCTCCTGGGAGAGTGAGTGAGAGACAACATGCCTGTGAGAGAGTGAGTGAGAGACAACATGCTCGTGAGAGAGTGAGTGAGATTGATTTTGCCGCTTACAGCGGCTAGTTTATTGTGCACCCCACACTCATCATGTGAGCGGTAGCGCAAAGGATTACAGAGTAGAGTTTACAAAGGGTCATTATAATTAACCCCCGTGGTCAGGATATTATGGCACTGAATGTTACACAGTATTTCAATTACATTCTTTGTTTAGTTCTATACACAAAGGGTAACTTATTCACAACTGCGTGAGTACAGGCGTGTGAGGCAGTATGTCTGGCCACATTCTTTGTTAGTTACATTTGCGTGAGAGGTATTCAAGCACATTGTGCATTTGGTTCTATACATGGTGATATAGTTACTAAGTGCAAAAAAGTGGATACAATCTTAATATGTCGGCTATCTTGCCATTAGAGATGAAGTGTTGTGACATTTCACGCACAGTGTGCTTGGACCTGTCTCAAAGGTTCTATCTTCACACAGTCGAGGACGTAGTGTTCAAGTGTGGCCATATGTTCGGCCACACACTTTACATTTAGTCTGGTTCACATCTGCTTGAGGAACATACTGCCAAGGTACTTATATCCTACCTTAGTCTAGCGGTTACAACATCTTGTAATCTAGTGATTTATTTGCTCCATATACATGTTTCTTGATACATCTCATCATGGTAAACTATTCATCGACTAGTGCCTGTTTGCACTTGTCTATTTGCGTCAAATTCATCAATAAGTTCTTTCCTAATTACAGTTTTAAGGGTTCTTTTTGACAGACCCAAATTGTTTCAACAGTGTCTTTGTCAGACGCGAGTTTATGACACCAACTCTCACATAGGCCTCATAAAACATCAATTTTTATGAGGCCTATGTGAGAGGGGATCCACAACAGTTTGACCTTGACACCCCGGTCAACAAGGTACGCATATTTGTGTTTGGCTTCAGAGACAAAAGCGTGACAATTGAGTTGCGGGTGTCAAGGGCAGGTAGTGAGGATAGAGAATCAATCAGTGATGATGAGACTGTAAGTGACAGTGGTTTCAATGAATTTAATAGCTGTGAGTATGGCAACCAATTCAATTTGTAGTGAGAGACAACATGCTCGTGGGAGAGTGAGTAAGACACAACATGCTCATGGGAGATTGAGTGAGAGACAACATGCTCGTGGAAGAGTGAGTGAGAGACAACATGCTCGTGGGAGAGTGAGTGAGAGACAACATGCTCGTGGGAGAGTGAGTATTGAGAGACAACATGCTCGTGGGAGAGTGAGTGAGAGACAACATGCTCGTGGGAGAGTGAGTATTGAGAGACAACATGCTCGTGGGAGAGTGAGTGAGAGACAACATGCCTGTGGGAGAGTGAGTATTGAGAGACAACATGCCTCGTGTGAGATGGGAGGAGAGACAAATTATGCTCTCGTGTGGGAGAGTGGGAGTGAGAGACTGAAATTATGCTCGGGAGAGTGGAGTAGGAGAGACAACATGCTCGTGGGAGTGTGAGTATTACAGAGACACCATGCTCGTGGGAGAGTGAGTGAGACAACATGCTCGTGGGAGATTGAATGAGAGACAACATGCCTGTGGGAGAGTGAGGAGAGACAACATGCTCGTGGGAGATTGAATGAGAGACAACATGCTCGTGGGAGAGTGGGAGAGAGACAACATGCCTGTGGGAGAGTGAGTGAGAGACAACATGCTCGTGGAGTGAGGAGAGACAACATGCTCGTGGGAGAGTGAGTGTGAGAGACAACATGCTCGTGGGAGATTGAATGAGAGACAACATGCTCGTGGGAGAGTGAGTGAGAGACAACATGCTCGTGGGAGAGTGAGTGAGAGACAACATGCTTCTGAGAGTGATGAGAGACAACATGCTGTGGGAGAGTGAGTGAGAGACAACATGCTCGTGGGAGAGTGAGTGAGAGACAACATGCTCGTGGGAGAGTGAGTGAGAGACAACATGCTCGTGGGAGAGTAAGATGAGAAACAATGAACGCGTGGGAGAGTAAGTGAGAGACAATGAACGCGTGGGAGAACGGCCCAGCCAACAATGTCATGCTGGTGGTGTGAGAGGGAGTGTCTGGACGTGTAATGAGAGGAATGCATGGTCAAGGTTAGGTTATGTTAGTACCTGTGTGTGTGTTCTTAACCAGGTAGCCTCAGGTGACTGCCAATTGACACGTGCCAACCCTCACATACACAACGGTGCATGTATATGAGTGTAAGTTCATGTAAACCTTTATGACACAATGGTACACACACACACACACACACACACACACACACACACACACACACTAATTGCCATGGATCCCGTTGCCTTCATCACCAGTTCTCTCGGCATAATTGGTGGTATAAAATATTGATACCAGAGTCGTGGGAATGTGAAGAACAGTGGCATGAAGAACAGTGTAGTGAAGAACAGTGTAGGGAAGAACAGTGGAGTGAAGAACAATGTAGGGAAGAACAGTGTAGGGAAGAACAGTGTAGTGAAGAACAGTGTAATGAAGAACAGTGTAATGAAGAACAGTGTAGTGAAGAACTGTGTAGTGAAGAACAGTGTAGTGATGAACAGTGTAGGCAAGAACAGTGTAGTGAAGAACAGTGTAGTGAAGAACAGTGTAGGTAAGAACAGTGTAGTGAAGAACAGTGTAGTGAAGAACAGTGGAGTGAAGAACAGTGTAGTGAAGAACAGTGGAGTGAAGAACAGCGTAGGGAAGAACAGTGTAATGAAGAACAGTGTAGGTAAGAACAGTGTAGTGAAGAACAGTGTAGTGAAGAACAGTGGAGTGAAGAACAGCGTAGGGAAGAACAGTGTAATGAAGAACAGTGTAGTGAAGAACAGTGTAGTGAAGAACAGTGTAGTGAAGAACAGTGTAATGAAGAACAGTGTAATGAAGAACAGTGTAGTGAAGAACAGTTTAGTGAAGAACAGTGCAATGAAAAACTGTGTAGTGAAGAACAGTGTAGTGAAGAACAGTGCAGTGAAGAACAGTAGTAGTGAAGAAATAGGCCGAAGAACAGGGAAGAACAGTGCAACAACAGTGTAGAGAAGAACAGTATAGAGAAGAACAGTGGTGAAGAACAGGTAGTGAAGAACGGTGTCGTGAAGAACAGTGTAGTGAAGAACAGTATAGTGAAGAACAGTGTAGTGAAGAACAGTGTAGTGATGAACAGTGTAGTGAAGAACAGTGTAATGGAGAACAATGAAAGAACAGTGCAGAGAAGAACAGTGTAGTGAAGAACAGTGTAGTGAAGAACAGTGTAGTGAGGAACAGTGTAGTGAAGAACAGTGTAATGAAGAACAGTAGTGAAGAACAGTGTAGTGAAGAACAGTGTAGTGAAGAACAGTGTAATGAAGAACAGTGTAGCGAAGAACAGTGTAGTGAAGAACAGTGTAGTGAAGAACAGTGTAGTGAAGAACAGTGTAGTGAAGAATAGTGTAGTGAAGAACAGTAGTGAAGAACATTATAGTGAGGAACAGTGTAGTGAAGAATAGTGCAGTGAAGAACAGTATAGTGAAGAACAGTGTAGTGAAGAACAGTATAGTGAAGAGCAGTTTAGTGAGGAACAGTGTAGTGAAGAACAGTGTATTGAAGAACGGTGTAGTGAAGAACAGTTTAGTGAGGAACAGTGTAGTGAAGAACAGTATAGTGAAGAACAGTGTAGTGAAGAACAGTTTAGTGAGGAACAGTGTAGTGAAGAACAGTGTAGTGAAGAACGGTGTAGTGAAGAACATTATAGTGAGGAACAGTGTAGTGAAGAACAGTGTAGCGAAGAACAGTATAGTTGAAGAACAGTATAATGAAGAACAGTATAGTGAAAAATAGTGTAGTGAAGAACAGTGGAGCGAAGAACAGTATAGTTGAAGAACAGTATAATGAAGAACAGTGTAGTGAAGAACAGTGTAGTGAAGAACAGTGTAGTGAAGAACAGTGTAGTGAAGAACGGTGTAGTGAAGAACAGTGTAGTGAAGAACAGTGTAGTGAAGAACAGTTTAGTGAAGAACAGTGTAGTGAAGAACAGTGTAGTGAAGAACGGTGTAGTGAAGAACATTATAGTGAGGAACAGTGTAGTGAAGAACAGTGTAGCGAAGAACAGTATAGTTGAAGAACAGTATAATGAAGAACAGTGTAGTGAAGAACAGTGTAGTGAAGAACAGTGCAGTGAAGAACAGTGTAGTGAAGAACAGTAGAGTGAAGAACAGCACCATAAGTGTCAGCACCATAAGTGCTACCACCATGATTGTCAGCACCATGAGTGTTGCCACCATGAGTGTTACCACCATGAGTGTCAGCACCATAAGTGTCAGCACCATAAGTGCTACCACCATGATTGTCAGCACCATGAGTGTTACCACCATGAGTGTCAGCACCATAAGTGTCAGCACCATAAGTGCTACCACCATGATTGTCAGCACCATGAGTGTTACCACCATGAGTGTCAGCACCATGAGGTATGCAGGTGGGAGCGTCAGATCATCAAATGAATAATTAAACTTCACAGGTCAATTACCTTGTGTGTGTGTGTGTGTGTGTGTGTGTGTGTGTGTGTGTGAACATAGGAATAGAGGAAACTGCAGCGGGCCCATTGGCCCAAGTTAGGCAGTCCCGTTTACACCCAACCCCTATCGATCATATATCCGTCAAACCTATGTTTGAAGCTGTCCAGCGTGTTTACCTATTTCGCGCCAAAATCTAAATTTGTCTGATTTAAAACCATTGCTGCGAGTTCGCTCCTGGTTGGATAGTTTGAGTATCTTTATAATGTCACCTTTGTTTAGCCCTGACTTCCGTTTATACACGTCTATCATATCGTCCCTCACTCTACGTCTCTCGAGGGAGTGCAAATTAAGATGCTTAAACCTGTCTCTGTACTCAAGGTTCCTAATGCCCGGGATTAGTCTTGTCATTCTCCTCACAATGCTTTCCAGGGATTCAATATCCACTCTGTAGTACGGTGACCAGAACTGAACCGCGTAATACAAGTGAGCAAGATATAGTTTTAGGATAACCTCGCTAGTCTTGTAACCAACACTCCTTTGTATGAACCCAAGTACTTTGTTAACCTTGTTTCGAGCAAATACACATTGTTTACTTGGTTTAAGATTCCTACTTATCTGTTTTTTCTGTTTACATCTCCGAGACTAAGTACTTTACATTTATTTACATTAAATTTCATCTGCCATTTTTCAAACCAAGCTCAAAAAAATTAGGATCTCCCTGTAGTTTTGCCGACTCCTGGTCAGATTTAATTACAGGCCCTATTGTAGTATTGTCATTTATGTATATAATAAATAGTAATGGTCCAAGTACTAAGCCTTGGTGTACTCCACTAGTGACGTTACCCCAATTGGATTTAGTGCCATTAATGCTGACTCTGTTTCCTGTCCTGTAACCACGCCCTAATCCATTTTAAACATCTCCAATTCCATGAGCCTCCACTTTATGCATTAGTCTCTCATGGGGGACCCTGTCGAAGGCTTTGCTAAAGTCGAGGTAAAACACATCACAATCGTGTCCGTCATCGACTGATTCGAAAACATTTGAAAAGAATGATAATAAATTTTGTCAGACATGAACGCCCGCTTGTGAAGCCATGTTGGAAATCATTGATCAACTTGTGCTTCTCCAGGTGATTTCGAATTATTTTTTAAACTACTATCCTCCAGGATTCTGGTTCTACACCCGGTTTTAATGACTTGTTAAATAAATTTACTCATCTCTACTATCTCGCTTAATCTATTTCTTCACTATCTCTGTATATAGTCGGTGCCTCTGGTATCATGTTTAAATTTTCGGTGGTGAAAACTGTTGAAAAATATTTATTCAGATTTTTGCTCATTTCTCCGTCATTACCATTTAGCTCGCCGGTATCTGACTGTATTAGTCCAATCTTGTCTCGTGTTTTGTTTGATACATTTGATTGAATCCCTTGGGGTTTGACTTCACCTCCTTTGCTACCTTCAGTTCATTATTCCTCTTTGCTTCTCTTATCTCGGTCTTAACTCTACCGGCCAATACCTTATAATAATCTCGGAGGTAAACTTCACCACGATTTATTCTCCTACCTATAGCCATAATAGTATATGTATGTGTACAGGTGACGTTCCAAGCGTGTGTGTGTCTGTGTGTACAGTAGACGTTAATAGTGTGTGTGTGTGTGTGTGTGTGTGTGTGTGTACAGTAGACGTTAATAGTGTGTGTGTGTGTGTGTGTGTGTGTGTGTTTACACGTGACGTTAATAGTGTATGTGTGTGTGTGTACAGGAAGACATTCCACTTCTTTTCATTATTCGCAATCTGATAAAAAAGTCACCCATTGTCAGCAACAGGACTGACATTGAGAACATTTGTTCACACGCAGTCATCTTCGGTCGTCAGCTGGGAGTCAATGGCTGACATAATATTGCCATTCCCCGTAAGGTCTTGCAGGCACCCATACTGATGTGCCAACAACAGGTAGATCAGTGGCACTTGTACTCCTAACATCGTGGTTGAAAATCGTAACTAAATCCTATGTTTTCTCGACTCTACGGGTGTGTGTGTTGGATGCCTCTGTTAAGTTAAAGATGTTCACAGCTGAAGATGGTCGTCACTTTACGATCCTCTGACCACATTCCCTCACGTTCATCACTAACTGAAGGTGTTAAGAACTGCACCTGAACTAGTTGCAGGTGTTAAGTGAACGTTTCTCTGTTAAGGTAGAGTCTTAGTGAACGTGTTTCGGTAGAGTCTTAGTGAACGTATCTCTGTTAAGGTAGAGTCTTAGTGAACGTTTCTCTGTTAAGGTAGAGTCTTAGTGAACGTTTCTCTGTTAAGGTAGAGTCTTAGTGAACGTTTCTCTGTTAAGGTAGAGTCTCAGTGAGCGTGTTAAGGTAGAGTCTTAGTAAACGTGTTAAGGTAGAGTCTTAGTGAACGTGTTAAGGTAGAGTCTTAGTGAACGTTTCTCTGTTAAGGTAGAGTCTTAGTGAACGTTTCTCTGTTAAAGTAAAGTCTTAGTGAACGTTTATCTGTTAAGGTAGAGTCTTAGTGAACGTTTCTCTGTTAAGGTAGAGTCTTAGTGAACGTTTCTCTGTTAAGGTAGAGTTTTAGTGAACGTTTCTCTGTTAAGGTAGAGTCTTAGTGAACGTTTCTCTGTTGAAGTTATGTCTTAGTGAACGTTTCTCTGTTAAGGTAGAGTCTTAGTGAACGTTTCTCTGTTAAGGTAGAGTCTTAGTGAACGTTTCTCTGTTAAGGTAGAGTCTTAGTGAACGTTTCTATGTTAAGGTAGAGTCTTAGTGAACGTTTCTCTGTTAAAGTTAAGTCTTAGTGAACGTTTCTCTGTTAAGGTAGAGTCTTAGTGAACGTTTCTCTGTTAAGATAGAGTCTTAGTGAACGTTTCTCTGTTAAGGTAGAGTCTTAGTGAACGTTTCTCTGTTAAGGTAGAGTCTTAGTGAACGTTTCTCTGTTAAGGTAGAGTCTTAGTGAACGTTTCTCTTTTAAGGTACAGTCTTAGTGAACGTTTCTCTGTTAAGGTAGAGTCATAGTGAACGTTTCTCTGTTAATGTAGAGTCTTAGTGAACGTTTCTCTGTTAATATATAGTGAACGTTTCTCTGTTAAGGTAGAGTCTTAGTGAACGTTTCTCTGTTAAGGTAAAGAGTCTTATTGAACGTTTCTCTGTTAGGTAGAGTCTTAGTAGACGTTACTTTATTAAGGTAGAGTCTTAGTGAACATTCTCTGTTAAGATGGGAATGTAGTGAACGTTTCTCTGTTAAGGTAGAGTCTTAGTGAACGTTTCTCTGTTAAGGTAGAGTCTTAGTGAACGTTTCTCTGTTAAAGTTAAGTCTTAGTGAACGTTTCTCTGTTAAGGTAGAGTCTTAGTGAACGTGTTTCGGTAGAGTCTTAGTGAACGTATCTCTGTTAAGGTAGAGTCTTAGTGAACGTTTCTCTGTTAAGGTAGAGTCTTAGTGAACGTTTCTCTATTAAGGTAGAGTCTTAGTGAACGTTTCTCTGTTAAAGTAGAGTCTTAGTGAACGTTTCTCTGTTTAGAGTCTCGTTGTTAAGGTAGA